GGGGGGTAGAATAGAAAGAGAAATAGAAATCCCAATTAGTCGAATGGCCCCATTGTGCCAACGTATGATAGGAGGGTGGTGGAACACATCCTAAAGCACTTTTCACCGACTTCCACCTCGTCGGATCTTCAGAGAACTAAGCCTCCCTCCTAGCGTACCGAAAGGGACAGGAATCTCCATGGGCATGACCCGGATTCCACAGAGAAAGATTCGGAGAAACGTGGGAAAGGACATGGGATACGGCGCATGGAGGGGGGGCAGGGGGTGGGAGGTGGGACGTTGGAGCACAAGATGCGTTACCGCGTCAGGCGCCATGACCCGCCGAAGTGCGCGGGAGCTGGGCAAACCTCCAGTAAGCAATATCAGCGACCAATTCCCATGTCGTAAGTGTGAGAGGAGCGGGGAGTCCCCTGACAAGGAGCCGTCGCTACGCGAGAAGACCACGCACAAACCGGGCCACACAAATGATGGAGCAGGCGCAACTCTTCAATCATCCGAATGCTCCACGTCAGTCACAAGGTTATGGCCAATAGGCGACACACGTAATATGCATACAGCAACGGTGACCCAACCATCTCTGCCTCAAGCACATCCATCCATGGCGCAAATTCGAGAAGTACCCCGCGCCCCCCACCACAGCGCTATCATTCCACGCAAAGATTGCACAGAAACCGAGTTACCATACGACAGGGTGAGCACCACCCTTCGGTAATTAGAACACACCACGTCAGCCACACGACGATGGCCGATGGTGGGCAAGAGCAAGCAGCGATGGCAAACCCTCCGCGCTTCACCACATCACCACCTCCGCAATGCGAATCCCAAGGAGTGATCCGAGTCCCCTACCAAAGTGCTGCCACTCTGAAAGAAGATCGCACCAGAAACCGAGCCACCCACACGACGGAGTACGCGCCACTCTTCGATAAACAGGAACACACCCCGCCCGCCAAATGGGTGGCAAGAGCGTGTAGCGATGGCAGACCCGCAGCGCCTCAGCCAAGCCTCCCATCCGTAACGCGAATCCGAGGAGTCCTCCGAACGCACACCGGGAGGGATCACGAACCAACCTGGAAGCACATAGTACGTGCGCAAATGGAATGAGCACGATATCCCTCTCTGAAGGCCGGACGAAGACCACCACAAAGAGGAGAAGCGCATGCATCGGAGCCGCTTTGGATGTCGCAAAAAACGCTGGACCACGGCTTCACACCGACGGAAGGCATAGGGGTCCTCTAAAACCCTCCGAGGGGGCAGGATGGGGGTCCCTCCACATAGTGAGGGAGGATGCATAACCAGAGGATTACCACAAGCCCAGTTTCCGCTTGGCCTCAAGGCCAAAGGCTGCCAACCCATTCACATACCAATCTACATCCCTCGACCCCCTGGTTTCTCTAAAACCCTTTTACTCTGTTCTTTTTTACTCCTTTCGTTATACTTTATTCCATTCCTCCAAAAAGTTCCACATCTCCACACCCTCTCTTTTAATTGAGACCAAACATTGTCAAGCCCTCCAAAGGGAAATCGTAAGTAAGAAGGGGGGGTGTTTCTTCATACCAGGGGCAAGCATGGGGACCTTAGCAGATAATCCTAGACCATAATCCTTTAGTATGTATGTGTGTGTGTGTGTGTGACCCTACCCTTCCCCACTAGGGGTAGCATGCTAGGGCAGGTAGCAGGTACCTGCCCTAGGCAAGGTACCCACTAGCCACCCCGGAGCCTTACCAGTAGAGGCCATCAGGACATACAAACAGACAGAACACCATAACTGAACGATGATAATATGGAGTATGATTATCTTACCCGAAATTGTTGCCCTGCTTTCGCAACATCCACTCTAGGGGGAAGGAAATCATGAGGGGAGTTAAGGACCCGATTCACACAATTGATGCAACTACGCAAGGGAAACCCATTGTGGACCATACAGGTGACTACCCTTAGGATTTCTTCAGCAGCATCGCAGGGTTTGGTGCAAAGAACAAGGATGGAAAAATCTTGGGCAAGAATGATATTCAATGATTGCTGGATATGCCTATTCGATGTGTATTTCACATACCTCACCACCGGGGAATTGAACGACAAGCGTTTGTCAAACTTCGTGGTGTAAAACGTTCCGATGGAATCAGAAGTCACCACGATTGATACGTTCAGAAACTGAGCCTTCAGGCCGTAAATTTCTCCAGAGGGGGATAGCTAAAAAATCTCTGTCTGATTTTTGATCTGGATGAGGTGGAGCGGGAACAAGGCGAAGATGCCATCATCATCATCAGGAGGGTCCTGCAGAAACTTCAAGACATCAACAACTTTGATCCATACACTCCCATGAGTTCTTGCCAGTTTTGGCTGGTGAAACGACTATCTCTATCGCTAGCTATTGACAGCGGGATTCCAATCTCACTAACCCAACAGTCAAAGAACCTCTGTATGACTACATCAGTACGCGCCTCTGAATGCAAAGGAACAAAAACTGCATACTTACTAAAGCGGTCAACTATGATCTTGACTTGGCTCTTGCCATGCCTTCTTTTGACGTGAGTGTCCATAAAGTCTATGGACACCGAGTCTCCCGGTTGATCCGGAATGGGCAAGGGTCTGAGAAGACCTAAGGCAGCACGCGTAGATGTCTTGTTACATTGGCAAACTTTACAACTGCGAACATACTCTATGCAGTCATTCTTCATCCCTGGCCAGGTATACGCGCGCATCAGATTGGCTAAAGTCTTTTGTCAACCCAAATGACCCTCTGTGTCATGTCATTCGCCCAAAATCAGACTACGAATCTCTTCCCCATTGGGGATGCATAGGCGGTCAAACACGTTAGTCTTCTCAAAGAGCAACCCTTTAGTAGTGCGGTAATTCGGCTAAAACTCTGGGGCCTCCTTGACTTTCTTAAGGAGCTCACTATAGATAGGGTCCTGCTCGTAGGCCTCTCTAACCTTCTGCTGCAGGTCCTTCCCTATATCGATATAATGCACTATCGCCCCAAAGTAATATGCCCTCCTACTCAGAGTTGTACTTCCCTTTGACAGGCTTGAGCTCAAAGTCATACTGATCTATCTCGGCGGCCCACCTAGTAAGCTTAGGTGTCATCTTCGCCTGCGACTTTAACCATCTCAATGTCTCGTGGTCTGAGTAGACTTTGAAGTGCCTCCCAAGCAAGTAGTGCTTCCAGTGGTCTAACGCTTGCCTGAGAGCGTAGAATTCCCTCTCATAGGTAGATGTCGCGACCTTCTCCGAAGGCATCCTGGCAGACATGAACTCTACGGGTCTATATCCATCGCCATCGTCTTGATGTAACACCGCGCCTATGCCGTACTGGCTAGCATCCGTAGTAACGACAAAAGGCAAGGACGGATCGGCAACCTTAAGGACCGGATACTCTATCAACGCCTGCTTCAATTTCTTCATAGCAGACGTGCAGTCCTTGTCCCACTTGCAGATTGTCTTTTTTCTCAGCAATCTGCGAAGGGGCGAAGCGATGGTGGAGAAGTTGCTCATGAACTTCCTGTAGTAATTCGCTAAGCCCAGGAACGAGCGCAACTCTTTCAGCGTGCGTGGCGTGGGCCAGTCTCTAATCGCTGCGATCTTGCTATCCTTTGGCTTAACGCCGTCTCCGTCTTAGACGTAGCCAAGATACAGAACTTGGGTCTTCGCCCAGTCGCACTTCTTTGCATTCATCTTGAAGTTAACTTCCCTCATCTTCTCCAAGACCTGCCTGAGATGACCGTGATGCTCTTCAAGGGTCTTACTAAACACTAGAATGTCATCTCGGTAAAGTATAACAAATCTATCTAACCATGGCCTAAACAAATCGTTCATACAACGCTGGAACGTAGCTGGCGCATTGGTTAGTCCAAAGGGCATCACTATAAACTCATAATGCCCGTACCTAGTCCGGAAAGCTGTTTTATATTGATCATCAGGATGTACCTCTATCTGATGATATCCGGACTAAATCTATCTTAGAGAAATACTTGGCGCCCTGCACTCGATCTAAGAGATCGTCTATCCTAGGCAGTGACTCGGCATTCTTCACGGTAATAGCATTCAGACCCCTATAGTATATGCACATTCTCAGCTCTCCCTCTTTCTTAGGAACAAAGAGAACAGGCGCTTCGAAAGGAGACGAACTGGGCCTCATCCAACCCTTCTCGAGGAGCTCGTCTAATTGCTTGCGAATCTCCTCTAACTCCTGTGGGGACATCCTATACACAACACCCTTAGGAGTTCTACTACCAGGCTCTATCTCAATACGGTGTTGGATGGGCCGCGGCACTTTGGTGTCGGCGGCTCAGTCAAACCCTTAAACCCTTCCAGCAGCTTGGCAATCGCAGGGTCCATCGGCTTCTCCTCCGTACGCTCAGTCACTGGCCTAACATAGGCAACGAAAACCTGTTCCTCCAGTTTCTCCTTTTTCACCAGTCTGGCGAACGCGGGGGCACTAAGGCAGCAATGCGCCAAGAAATTCTCTACGCCTGACTCATGGAACAGGCGGGCAATCTTGGCCTCGCCTGCCGAACTAGGGAGCCTACACTCGTGCTCCTTCAAATGGAGCGTGGCCCCAGCTGCTTCTCCCCAATCCATTCCCAGGACAATATCAAATGGGAGGCTGTCTTCTACGAGGAGAGTCAGAGACTGGAGGACCTTCTCCACTTTCCTATCTTTCTCTAGGCGAAAATATGCCTGGACTCCCTCTACGTAATCCTCCACAACCATAGTACAATTGTCCGCGAGGATACTAACTATTGGGTCTGCTAACTTTTGGACTTTAAGTCCCAGCTTCAACTTTTGCAGCGCTTTCTTACTAATATAGCTGCGGGTGGCCCCTGAATCTACTAGGGACCCTACTCTACCTCTAAAAATCTTTGTATCTAATAAGATCAGCTGCCGTTTATTCTCCTTCTTCATCTTGGCCTAGGCGGGCATCCTCTCCTTCAATTCTTCAGCCACGCCTGTGAGGGAGTTGTCTAGAGAGACTCTAACACAAGCGGTCTCTGGGCAGCTATCTAGACACCGGCCTGCAAACTCTGCCATAGGCACATGTGGTGTGGGAGTCTCCTGCCGGCTAGCGCTATGTTCCCCACATGGCCTAATGGTAAGGGCAGTTGCTACCCCTACTGGCGGCTGCCTTTTGGCCCTTGAGCAGCAGTTAGGGTCTCGCGATACTTAGGACAGTATTTGATGATATGGCCCGGGTCGCCGCAGAAAATGCACTAGCCCCGGTCCAATCGTTGTTGGCATAGACTCTGGTCCAGACCCAAAGTTTCCCAGGGCCTACCCTGCGGTATCCCCGGGTGCTATCCTCCTACCTTGTAGGGAGACCTATTCCTAGGGCGGTTTTGCGGGGGACCTTGACCCCTGCCTCCCGCTTGGCGGTTTCCTCCTCTGCCGCCAACCCTCTGATCGCCCTGAAACCGGCTCCCTGAGGCCCGGCCCCCTTGGCCCTAGCCTCGTCCTCCTCCTTGCGGCCTCCCTCCAGCCGCGACAGCAGCGTAAGTCCTTCCCTGGCCCACACCCCTGTCATCCTCCTCTAACCCCCACTCAATCTGATCGTAGGGGATCTCATCCACACTACCATCGTCTAGAGTTAGGACAAGGCTATCCTTAGTCTTCACTTGCCTAGAGATAGTGCGGTCCTTCCATTGCTTCCCCTTGTCCAAGTCTCTGTGCCAGAAGGTAAACACAGACGCAGACTTGGCTTCAAAAGCCACTACTTCACGACTCAGAGAATCATATGTCGTGGTAGGGTCTTCGCTCTTCGCGAAGAAGTGCCGTCGCAAGGCTTCGGGGATGGGCCGGTAGAAGAGGGCGACCAATTGAGTGTTTGTGACCCCATGGTCAGGAACAACGATTAGTTCATCCATCGTGCTCTTGAGTGCCCTGGCACTCTTCCACTTACGAGCGTGGATTGTCTGGAGCCTGTCTGAGGCCTTAACACTTCGAGCAACATCTACAAATCGCTCGCGCAGTAATCTCATGAACTGAGTGAGGGAGGTGAATGCCGAATAGGCAACTGGATCGTCACTGCAGTTGGCAGCGCGAACAAGGGATCTCGCAAAACAAGCGGCTTCATCTCTAAGTGCATGGATCACAATTAGAACATGCTCATCTGGGGAGACCTATTCCAGATGCACGTAGGTCTTAACGTTGGCCTCCCAGTTATCAAATTCTCTTCCCGCTTCCCACTGTAGGAATCAGGGAATTTGACCTTGACTGACTCTCTACGCGGCGGGCGTGGTTCCTTTTCCTTGGGGGCTGCCGCCTTGACGCCCTCAATGGCGCCAACGCAAAATCGCTTTGTCTTCTTGAGGCGATGATTCACCTCGGATCCTATCGCGGCTACCTATTCACGAGCAAAGTCCCGAAACCCCATTCGTATAGAGCGTACAGCCATGTCCTGACTCCGACTAAAATCGTACTGTTGTTCTTGTATCCGGGCTAAGCGCTCGATAGTCTGGGCAATAAGTTCAACCTTTTTCTCAAGGTCTACCTGCGGGGTTAACCTCAGGGTTAGCTGCTGCATCTCCCCTAGGTCCTTGACCGCGTCAATTGCCGCGTCCACTTTCCTCTTCTTTTCCCTCATCACTCTCAACTTCTACTCCATCCTTTTTTCATCCTCCATTGCATGCCACCTCACAACATCCCTTTCTGCTTCCCACTCCTTCATAGCGGGTTCCTGCTCGTCCTTGGGGATATACATGGCTACCTCTTCTTCTTCTCCCAGGGACAAGTTGGCAACCCACTCTGAAATCCGCTTCTCCATTTTATCATCCTTGCTGCCACTCTACTGCCCTCGCTGTTCTCCTCTCCTCTCCAGTGGCTGATGATCTTCCTCCTCTTCTTCCTCCACCTCCTTCAACTTCTGCTCTTCTTCTTTTTTCAATCTTTCCTTCTCTCTGGCCATTTGTTCCTCAATCTTTTTCAATTTGGCCGCCTGCTCCTCTTGTAGGGCCTTCTACTTGGCCTCTCTCTTCTCCTTCCTCTCCTGTAGAATGGCGGTCATCTTCTCCTCCTCCTCCTTCGTGTAAGGGTTGGTGGAAGTACCACCACGAGTGGTCCCTACTCTACACGCAACAGTGGGCCAGAAGCCCAGAGGAAAGAGGAGTTGCTAGAGGGCCCCCCAAAGGGAGAACCCAACAATCAACCCATACATCGGGTAGTCGTCCATTGTGGTGTTTGGTGCACGACAGAAGTCCCACTCCTCACCACTTAGACCTACCCGGACACTGACTCACCCACTGACTCTCTAAGGACCACAGGGTAAGACCCAGTTAACTATGGTCACTACTAACCCAAGACTACTGTAAGGCTGTCACTACACAACCAAAAACTGATCAGGAGGCATTTAAGGAGATCCCCCAAACTCCGCAAGAATTCTTTAACGTCAGAGACAGGACGACGCGATCAGCTTGGTTCCTCTGGCGATTTAAGATGTCCAGCCCCCTGTGCCACACCGAGCAGCCCGCCGGTCGGTACCGGTCCTTGGAGGGGTTCGCATCCCTCGGGACAGTCGAGTCGTCAGACACAGATCATCAGCCTTACTAGGTCCGGTAGGGGAGTGGCTCAACCAGTCCTCAACACTTAAAGACGGCCTTCGTTTCAGCTCACAGCTCGGAGTTCGGACCCTCCACATTGAACTCCGGAGACCTGCCGGTAAGTACCGGTCATTGGGCTAGACGAGTTGTTTAACGAGCGCTCGCCGCTCATGCCCAGGTCTTCGGATGCCAGAGTAGAGCTTTGGTCCTACTATGCCCGTGCAGGTTTGGCAGCAAGGCCCTATCCTTCATCCACAGAGTCCTAACACCTAAGACAGAAGGGACTCAATGCAGAAAGAGTAGACAAACAGACTCAACAAGTACCATGGGGTAAGTGCGCATCCACAGGGTAAGGGGATAGGCTGAGGGTCCAACGAGATATCACCAACTCCAGCTTGGTCAAAATCTTGGTCAGCAACTCCGGTCAACGCCTTGGTCAACCCTTTGGTCAACGCTTTTGTCAACGCCCGATCAACCCTTCACCTCGGCTATGGCTGTTGGCACCTTCACCTTCGTCACCTTCGCTGTCTACTTCCCCTTCCTTCACTTTCTTTCTTCTTCTCTTTGGCTGTATATATATATTTTTTTTGTGCTCGCCCCCGGCTATGTCTGTCTTCTTCCCCAACCTCCTCCTTCCACACTTCTTCTTCTTTCTCCTTAGTCCCTCCTTCTCTATCCTCCCTTTCTCTCTCCTCCGGCACTAAGTGTCAATGCTCCGCGGCTATGGCAGCCGTCTTCCTCCTCCACCGGACTCCACAGCTCGGCTCACAGGTAAGTTGCAACCAATCTTGGATCGCTCATCTCTTTCTCTCTCTCTCTGTGTAGCGGTATCTTCAGTGCAACAGGTAAGTAACCAATCTTGTATCACTCATCTCTCTCTCTCTCTCTCTCTCTCTCTCTCTCTCTCTCTCTCTCTCTCTCTCTCTCTCTCTCTCTC